ATTGCAAGGATTAACCTACCAGAGTTTTTCCAAAAAGTGGAATGGCAGTAATTAACCTTTCCAATATCTTTTGTTCCCAATTGGCAAAATGAAAGGATTTCTTTTATTGTAAGTGCATTTTGATGCTCTACAGACCACCTAGTAAAAAATGACTGACTTAATACCTTTTCAAATTGAGATATTAAAATATAACTAAACAAAGTGGCTATAGAACAATGTCCCCACTCAAACATACACAAACTACACTCTCAGAAATCAGATGCAGAGAGAAAACTATCTGCATTCTCCACATCCTTTCCAACATTGTTTGCTTTGTTAAACTTTGCTACTGTTCCTGAGGTGAGATGTATCTTGTTGCTTTGATTCATGTCACTCTGCTAGTGATTTTGAACTCCGTTCCATCTGCTTCTCTGTGATTTCTGTGTGGAAAAACTCCCTTTTGTATTACTTGTTAATTTTGTCTCATTTTCAAGAATTCTCTTAATTATTGCATTTCTGAGAATGTCTTAATTTCATCATATTTATTTGGTGGGCTGTTTCTCTAAGTACAGGATTTTCAATTGGCAGTTGTTTTCTTTCAGTTTATTAAAGATCCTGTGCCTAAAATGGAGAGGATTGGGATGCCAATTGATCCTGGTTTTATTGCTAATAATAATGACCACAAGCATTTATTTTTTGTTCTCACACTGTGTCCTCTACCTAGTTGAATTTCTTGAATCAGAACAATTTTTTCTGATATTTGATTCTTGAGAAATATTTGTTGAAAAATGAAAAATTTAAATAAAGGAAGAAAATTATATGAGGTGATACATGCAGTGCATTTTACCAAAGGCTATTAATACATGTTTTAGATGTCTGATTAATCTTCTATTTTAAATATCAATGTAAATTTTTCAGGAAATTAATAACTAAGATATAAAGAGATAAAAATAATTTAAATAGACCAGGAAATCTTTACTGAAATAATATTATTGTTCATTGCCATCAGGTTGGAACTGACTCCTAGCTTACCTCCAGCAGGCTTTCAGAAGCTGTAATCACATGGGCGGAAACCGGTCATCTTTTTCCTAAGGAGTAGCTGATTGATTCAAACTGCTTGCTTTTGTCTTGGCAACTACTTAGCCATAGTATTCTTCAGTTTTGATACATCTAACTAACCTGCTTAAACATTTAACAAAAGTATTTGTATTAAAAAATTTTCTGTATATATGCCATAAACTGAGGGAAAATCAGTTGAAGGCAGTTCTATCAGTAAATGCATACACCAAACAATTCAGAAGGTCCTGAGTTTCATCTTGACATAGACTTGTTCATTCTAGGTGACATATTAATTCACATGGTATTTTTTCAATATGCTTCCTCAGGCTTCTTGTTGTTGTTGTTAAGTGTCATTGAGTCGTAGATGACTCATTGTGATCCTATGAATGAAAGACCATGAACACTTATATAACATTCATCATTTCTCCAAGCTCATAGAGTTTCCAGAGGCAAACTATTTCTGAAGTGGATACCACTCCTGCTTCCAAGCTTGTTTTAATCAGGGAGCGCCGCCAAACACTGTCCACCATGGGTAACCATTATCACATTTGACACAGCAGTGTCACAATTTTTAGTATCACAGCAATCACAAGTTACCTCTGTACAGCAAATGGACAGATCAGTGCTATACCACTTAGAAGAATGTTTGACCAAAAACAATTAAAACCAGTCCTGAGGGCTGCAGATTAAAATCACCTACCTTTGATTTTGTACCATCACTCTCTGTCCATTAAACTAACAGAGCTCTCTCTATGCTATTCTTGTTAAGTGCCGTTGAGTCGTAGATGACTCACAGCGACCCTATGAATGAATGACCCGAACACTTGTATAACTTTCACCATTTCTCACATTCATAGGGTTTCCAGAGGCAAGCTATTTCAGAAGTGGATGCCACTCCTGCTTCAAAGCTTGTTTTAATCGGGGAGCTCCAGTAAACATTGCCCACCAGGCTTAAGTTGGCATAAACAAAAATATTGAGCAAATATGTTTTTAGGTGCCATCAAGTTGACCATGACTCAAGACAATCCTATGAACAACAGAGCTGAGCCCTGTCTTATACTGTGTTGTCTTCATAACCTCTGACATTTTTAGCCCATCGGTGTAGTAACTGTGGCACTCTATCTTGTTGAGGGTCTTCTTCTCTTTCACTTACCCTCCGCTTTTCCAAGCATGATGCCCCTTTCCTAAGGACTGGCCCCTCCTAACAACATGCCCAAAGTATGTGAGATGAAGTTCCACCATCCTTGCCTCCAAGAAGCACACTGGTTGCACTTGTTCCAAGACATGTCTGTTCGTTCATGGAATATTCACCACTCATCTCCAACACCACAACTCAAAAACATCAGTTCTTCTGTCATCCTTATTCATGGTCCAACTCTTGATGCATACTGTAGCAAGTGATTGAAAGACCATGACTTGAATCAGGTACACCTTAGTCTTTAAGCTGACATTGTTGCTCCTCATTACTTCAGAGGGATACTTAATAGACTTTCCCAAAGCACTATGTTTTTTTTATTTGTTTACAGTGGGAATACACTAAGTGTTGATTCTAGATACAAGTCAGATGAAATCATTGACATTGTCAATCTTCTCCATTTTTCATGGTACTGCCTATTCGCCCAGTAGTGAGAATTTTTATTATCTTGATGTTGAAATATAATCCATATTGAAGGCTGTAGTTATTGATCTTCTTTCTGGAGAAAGAATTTCAAGTTCTTCTCACTTTCAGTAAAGAAGGTTGTGTTATCTGCATAATGTAGGTTGTTGATGACTCTGGTAACGATCTTGATGTCACATTCTTCTTCATAAAATCCAGCTTCTTGAATTATTTGTTCAGCCTACAGATTGGATAGTCATGGAGAAAGGATACAATTGCCGATCCATACCTTTCTTGATTTTAAACCTTGCTCAAAAGACTTATTGAAATTATACCAATCTCCCCATTTATTAAGGGAAATGCAAATATACAAAATTAGAAATTGGAGTTTTTATTTAAAATAAAATATTCTTATTTTTCTATAGCTTTTTTCATAGCTTATTCCCAAAGGGGGAAGAGGAGGAGAAAGATTTTAAAGGTGCAGTGAATTCCCTACAATCACATTTCCCTGTAATAGAAGTTGATGAAACTGAATGGATACTTTGTACGAGAATTATTGTTTTTCTAGTCTACATGAAAAGTGTCAGTAGCCTGTAGGTCGAAACTACTAAAGCACCATGTGCTCCATCAAAATAAGAGGAGAATGGCCTGAGGTGTGAGCACCCAGAATGTGTTCAGATGTGGACTGGCCAGTCTCCTTTGTGTCACTTAGCCGATGTGTGAAGTCACAGTCTCTAGCCTCTGCATTGTTCTCTTCTCCCAATGTTATTCACAATTGCCAGATCCATTCCTCAACTGTAGTGCCCATTGTTTTATGTATGCTTTATAAATAAGTAGCTTATTTCATTATGACTTATAATGTATTTTTTAAAGCCATGAAAAGATAGTGGTAGAATTTACTGCAACAAATTCCAACAGACTTTTAAAGTCCCTATACGCAATAGTATCTATTTCTAATGGATAGCTTCAGACAAACACATGTGACATAATTTGTTATTATTAGGGAGCTCTGATAGCCTAACGGTAAGAAACTGCACTGCAATTCCAAAGGCATGTGGTTCAAATCTACCAGCTCCTCCACAGGAGCAGGATGGACAATCTCTTACTGTGCAATTACTGCCTCTGAAAACCTGTTTATTAGAGGCTTGTTTTGTTTTGTTTATACCAAGTTTCTTCAGGAGAAGACTGCACCCTTTCCTGATGAGTGATGTCTAGAACAAATACATTGAAGAATTATCTTGCTATGGAAACAGGAATTTAGATCAAGTGATACCACCTGGGTTGGGAAGTGTAATATCCTTATGGGAAATTATGGATCTTAAACTTGCTCCATGCTGTCCTGCTGTGTGACAACGTGATGCATTGTGTTTTGGACTGCTAAATGAAAGCCCATCAGTTTGAATCTACCAGTTACACTGCAGGAAAAAGACAAAATGGTCTCCCCATAAAGAATTCCCATTTCAGAAACCCAACGGGGAAGTGCCATGAGTTGGGATCCCCTGTGGCCATGGGTTTCTGGTTTGGGTTCTAGCTTCTGTATCTGCTCATACTTTCTATTCATATATGCAGAAAAGTTTTCTGGAGACTCAGCATTCAAATAAGCAGTCTTCTTTATTATAATTTTTTAATCCATTCTATATTTCTAAAGATGTTTTATACCACTTTATTTTACTTGGTATCATATTTTTTTATTTCATTTGATTGAATTGATTGATATCTAGTTGATTCCAACTTCTAACAACCCTTCAGCAGAGTTACAGAAACTGTAAAGGTTTATAGGCGTAGACTGTCCATCTTTCTCCCACTTCCATGGAAAAGCCGGTGTGGACTTGAACCAGCAGCCTTTAGGTTTTCAGCATAACATGTAAGGCAGCATGCCACCATTGTTCTTGCTTACTGAAAGGGAACCAAAATGTATACAAACCCTTCAGCAACAATGATGTGTGTGATAAAAAGAGCCATCACACCAGTGTTGAGTTGGTCTTTCTCACTGACAAGCCTGATGTTCCTGTCTTTGTCCCTGTTGCCATTAATCTACTCTATTGTTTTAGATTTATGCATTAAAAATACCATTTCTGCTTAGAAGGGATCACTTTGTTACTTCGTAGCTTTTAAGCTGATGCCATGAACTTATTTTTCTTCTAAGATAAAGTCACATCTATAGATTTTTCAACTAATTACATGTCTGCCAATAAATACTTAGAGGATACATTTTATTTCAATTTATTATTTGTGTTTACATAGTGTGTCCCTGGAAAGATCTGCGGTACTGCAAGGAAATGTTTGAATGGTGCTTATTACTACTTTTTTCACTCTGTTCCTTCTCTTTTCTTCCCTCTCCACCCCACTCCTCTCTTTTTAATAGCTCCAGTCAGTCTGGTCAAGCATGACAGCAACTCAAACTCGGCAAACTTCCAAGACGCAGAGGACAAGCCTGACAGATGTGTCTTGGAAGAGTCAGAGAGTCCAGGTGAAAGCTATTTAAAAATAGTCAAGTATAAAATGATAAATTTGACACAGCTTTGGGGTCCTTGGAAGGGGGTGGGGGAAGAGGACATTGTAATGCTGTTTTCCCTTACCAGCTGCACTGTCAAATTAATGGTCACCTCCAGGGGTCACGGTGTGGAGCTGTTATCTTTTCCTCTTTCATCAAGAATTCAGTCCAAGGAAGTACAAAGGCTTCAGGACTGAGAAGGGAAGCTGACGCTATTGGTTCATTATCATCAATTTTAGCCTAAACTGGTTAATAGAGTCAGGGATTCACAACTGCAGAAATGGCAACATGTTAAATATTTTAAATCAAGGTATCTTCAGGGGAATCAAGTGACAGTGGTGAGTTGGAGGGAATGGAGAAGCCAGCCGCCATCCTTACAATTCTATTTACCTTTCTAAGTGCAAGCAGGGCTCATGCAAACTGTGATGAGGATTTCAGCATGACAGTAATGGATGTTGTCAGTTGTTTAGGACAAAACAGAAGAAAAAGGCAACCCTTCCTCACACAATAAAATCCACTGTATGTCAAAGTTGCTTATGTTTGTATTTTCTTTTTAAAGAGGTGTGGGGGCGGCGGGGGAAGTGTGGCAGAAATATATTGGAAGGGTCCTGTCAGAAACATTCAAGCCTGGGTTTTTGTTTCCGTTTTTGCTTGATTTGAAGGATGTGCAATTATAATAACAAAGTCAGGTTTTTTAACCATGCAAAAGTTGAACAACCTTCTTGGACCACCACCATCCCATAAAGTGCTTAAAGAAGTTCCTTATTATTATGAGTGAAAGAGCTAAATGCTGTTTCTTCCTTCTCTCCCCCTCACATACACTTATTATTTTCCTTTTCTATTTTATCTGGCTGCTCTGGACCCTCTCCCCTCTCACATCTTTGTGTGCTGATCCATGTATCATATTTTTGATTCATCCTCTCTGTGGCCTGTCAGCTTAGTTAAGAGATTTCCAAATCTTGTAGCCTCCGCTGACAGGGGGCAGCTGCAAACAGTCCCCTGATCCTTCCCGGAGGAGAGCTGCTGAGATTTAATTTTCAGTGAAAGGTGCAGCCTGCAATCTATGTCAGGTCCCCTAAGTCATCTTGGAACCCCTATAGGCCCAGTGGCGGGTGGCATTGTATTTCAGTTCCCTCTCTTCCTCAAAGATTCCTCAAGGATGAACCGCTGCTGTGTGTATGCCCAGTCTCAGCATCACACCTGCTCGCTTTATCAGCCCATGGAAGCGAGAAACGTCATTCTTTAGCCATGCCAGAAATTTCCAACCAGCAAATTAACCCCATTTCCACCCCCCACCGTGATATCTGAAGAATAGAGGCAGATCAGTACTATTCTAAAAGGGAGACGAGAGTGGCCATATTAAATTTCTATCTCATATATGCTTTAAAATTTAAGTTTTGACTATAAAGTGCCTAATTTTGACTAGGATTTCAAAGTATGTTCATCAACAGTTTTTTGTTTTTGTTTTGTCCAGCAGTTAAATCAAGTGTTTATGTAAGGAAGTGTTCATAGTTGCTGGTGAAGGCTGGTCTGGTTTTATACCATTTCACAAGTAGAGATACCATTTATCCCTTTGTATGAGTAGTACTGTAGTGAGATTCAAATGTGATGGCCTCTACTTGACTGATATAAATAGAAGAATATGTTGGGGGGGGGAATTAGTTAGAACCTATAGGTGCTGATAAAGAATCTCAACTTAAGAAGTGAGTACTGCTCTGTACATCGGACATCATTAAACTGGTAATAAAGGATGAATTACTCTGGCTTTTTCCTCTGTCCATTCCTGCATTTTAAGACATCTTGCCTTATAGGCCTAGAAACCTCTGGAGAGTTCACTACTGGTCTCACTGCCTTCCACTGAGAATTTGTGGCTTGGTTGTCATGGAGACATCGTATTTCTCCAAGAATTGCTCATATTGATCCGTGGCCAGGCGTAAATGGCCAGGCGAGTGTGAGGAATAAAGGGGGCTGGGCAGTACTAGAAAATGACCAGGGCTTGTGGGTTGGAAATCAGCTCATAGCAAACACTTAGGTAAAAAGAAAGAAGCAGTTTTATTTTGTTTCAGGATTCCTTTCTGCACTTTGGGCCATTGTCTTCTTTCACTATGAACTGAAAGAAACTTGTTAGTCACTTGTCATGTCAGATCTTTGGTGCTCACCCTGACACAGCTGTCAGCCTTCCAGCTCTGTGCAGTTTAGGGACACACAACAAAGAGGCAGCAGCATGAATTATTTATCGCTCCTTGTGTGGATAAAATTCTGTGATAAGAAATTAAGACACTTCTGACAGAGGTGCTTGTTCAGTAAGAAAGATTTGGAAGAGAGAGTCTATTTCCTTGAACTCTGAGCTTTTGAAAGACACAAAATTCACAAAACTGTACATGGAGAAAGCTAAGTTCCGTATGTCCTGTGTAATCTCATGGCAGGCAGAGACTTTTTTTCAGCTGTGAAAATATGACTCTCCACTTTTCAGTGGCAAAAATTAAACTTCAACAAATATCAAGTCACTCAGTATTCGAGTGTACTTGGAAACTTTAAATGTTACTTTGATGGTTTAGTTACCTCAGTTTGCTATGCATGAGCAGTGTATCCCTGGGAAGTATGAAATAGCTTAATTTTAAAAGAAAAAAACCAAATATGGGGTTTTAAGCTATGTATTTTGAGAACATTTCTTCATACTGAGAGAATTGCTTTACTCAATAAGCCTATAATTACCTAAACACTTTCATTATATGGAAAAGAGTACATTTAAAACAGGATACATCATTTTTTCTTTTTTTCACTTAGAATATAACTTCTTCTCATTTTAAATCCCTGCTAGCATCCCCATCCATATGCAAAAATCCCACAGTTACTAAGTTAAAGGTGGTCAGTTTTTCAGGTCAAATGGATATAACCTTACAGAAGTGTTGTGTGTGTGTGTGTGTGTGTGTGTATATATATATATATATATATTTAGGAATCTGTGCATACACATATATATGCTTGTATATTTATACACACACATTATCCTTTCAAAACAAAGCATTTTCTTTGAAAAGCCTTAAAACATCATTTAGCTTTAGCTACTTATACTTATATATTGCTAATAATGTAGTTGCATATGTAGAGAGCAAGAGGGAAAGACAGCAACACACAGAAAAACTGAAATCTATTCTTGGAAAAAGCAAAGTTGACATTTTTAAGATGGGATTAGAGAATTCTTAAACTCCATTAGTAAACTCAAGTTTCAGAATTTATATAAAACAATGAGATTGACTTGTTACGTGATTCCTTTTGAACATGGTGTATTTTGTGTTATGTTTGTAGACATCACTGCTCCTTCAGTGCTGAACTGAAGGGCTGACCCATTTGCAAATGGGCTGGAGTCTGCATATAGGTCATAGTTTAGATGCCTTGTTGAGCGGTTGTTCACCTGGTCTCTAGAGCACTCTACCTTATTCATCATGCCACTGTGAGTTCTTTATTGGTTCAAACCGTATACCCAGGTGAGCGCTTGGAATCCATTAAAGTTGGCAAAGCAACTTTAGACCAGAGGCATTCCTGTTACTTTGACCCAGCTTGTGAACCTGGAGGTCTTGTCTGATAGGTGAAGGTATCCCTCAGCAGTGTCTTGTCTTTGGAATAATTCATCAGTAAAGAGTTTTGACTCACAGGTGAATCCCAGATTGAAGTTCCTGGCTTAGACTCTGTGAAGTCCACTTGCTTCTTCACTAGCATTTATACATTCCTGGAACCTCTGGGAATAACTTTGATGTCTAGTAATAGAAGCACTGAGGCAACATTGTGAACCAGCAGCTGCCCCCCACCCCCCAACACACACACATCCCTTTATTCTTTTATTTAAGATTTTAGGGCCATTAGGCTTTCTTTGGCTCTTAAAACCTGGTTGCTTCTGAATCTAAAAGACATTATTACAAAAATAGTTCTGTTAACATTACCATTTTATGTACCTTGGATAAAACTCAATCCTCATTCTCCAGAAGTAATAGGTGTCCCTAGCCCCTAGTCTTTCAACTCAAAGAGACACAAAAAGTAAGGTGCATTCACATTTTCTTATATAAGCATTAATGAATCTTTGATTATTATTATTATTTTCTTCTTGTTTTGGAAAACTAAGAATTTTGCTTCCTAGCGTATGAAGGAAAGTACACTCAAAAGTACCTTAAAAAAATTCCTTTAGCTGAAAATAGCAATGGCAACAAAGAGAGCTTGAAAATCCAAAACATAATGCATTCAGATAAAAGTTTTCACATCATTCTGAAGTGGTTTATAATCGGTATGCATTCTGCCATTAATACAACAGCTTAGTGGTTTTCATATAGCATATTATGAGTGTAGATCTATATATATCATTGCCAATCAATAGTACATTTGCATGAATCTGATGAACAAAACTGACTTTCTCACAGTTTCTAAGTGATACATTGTGAAAAGCCAAGGTTGACTTTCCCCCCACCCCGCCCTGTTTTACTATTCGGCCTCATGAATCACCAGCAAAAATCAGGTAACAGAAAGTAGGACAGATTCAGGGTTGGAGTGTTGGAGATGGCTGATGATGATGCATGGAGCAGAAAAAATGTGCAATGTGTGGCAGCCCATCAATCACAGCCATCGAGAACACACTTCTTATGGCTAGTGAAAAAAAAGGTTCTAGAAGTAAGAACAGTTTCAGCAGCAAAAACATATGAGCTCTGTCTTTTATTACATTTAACAACATCATTTTTTTAACATGCTCAAAGGAAAGAATTTAAACATCCTAGTAACTTTTAAAAGAACCTAAAATTATACATTAATACTCATTTTTTATGTATAGTATATCATACTGGCTTAATTAAACCCAATTTTTTACTTTTTTATTTTTTTTAAATTGCCAGCTAGAATAGAAGTCACTAAGCATTAGTCAGGGCATTAATATAATTGTGTTTAGGAATAGTTAACTAAGGCACAGTGATCCCAATAGTTTCCTGGTCAAATTGGTTTAAATCAAATGATAATTTTTGGCCTGCAATTACAACAAACCATGATGAGAAATAAATGCTAGTTTGATTCTGTAACCTAAGTCATACTGCTAACATTTATGAAAAGTAGCTCTAAGGACAATTCAGCAGCTTGAAATTGATGTAAATGTACTGATGACAAGCAAAATAAATTTTAAAATTTGAAAACTATTTGAATGTTTAATAAATAATTTGAAATAAATAAGTTGGAATTTCCACCTACATTGGCAATTAGAAATTAATATATTAGTAATATGTGTAATCAAAATCTAATTATCTGGGAAATTAGTGATTTCTATAACAAAGAGGGGTTGTATTTTATTATATTTCATTTTGGGAGAGGTGTGTTAAAATTATAAACACTTCCTCTCTCGGTGTCCCCCTCCCTTCTTCTGTTTTTCCTTCCTTCATCCGTTCCTCTCTTTCTTCCTCCCTCCCCTTCTTTTTTCCTCTTTCTTTATTTTGCCACATACTCAAGATATTTGTTTTCTTTCTAGGTAAAACAAGTCATCATTCGTGGATAGTGAAGGTGTGTTCCTGCAAAGTGTGCTAAATGAAATCTTATCTACAGGACTGGATTAATGAAGATATTTAAAATTGCCATTTGTTTATCATATAAGTTATATGGTTATTGGTTAAAGTATCAGGCTGTGGTGGTTGTTAGTCAGCATGTAATTGCTGATCTGAAAATACTCAGATTCAATTTTAGAATATCACTGTACAAATCAGTTTGTAATATTTCTAACAAAGAATAATATTCTTCAGAATATTTTACCCTTAAGGATTTTTTCCATCATTTCAATTCCATTTCTAACACAATGTTTCTAAATTTGATGCTGCTTCAATGACATAAGTCAAAACTTGATCAAATTTTGCTTGATTTGTTAGATGAAGATATGTTGTTGCAGTAGATGCTCTAATGTGAATTACTCACTCAGCAGTAAATCTCCTCTCTAACATTAAATGCTGTCAACAAATAGCCAAATCTATTTAGTCATCAATTAGCCCAAATAAGTAATATACACTACAAGAAACCTTTCTTGTATAGTCTAGTTGCTTTGGATTTCAACTGCTGTAGGAACTAATGTTTTTAGTTAAATGTTGACTTTGGATATCATATAAATGTGAAAAGAGGAATCTATGTATAGTACATCAGAATTGATCCTTATATAAACTCTGTAAAGCCCTCTTTCTAGGAAGCCAGACTGGCAGGAATTTCAAAACTAAAATATGTAAAACAGTATAAATAGAAATAGACATAAAGTCATCATTTATTAAGGCTTCAGTGGCCTGATTTAGTGCCAGGGTTTATATTGTACAATACCTGGATTTCTAGAAAAGAATGAAAAAATATTATCAATACGCATAGATTCTAAATACATATATTGTCTTGCTCATAGAAATAAAGCATTATGTGTATCTATATATTATTTTATATTATTCAATGTGCACACACACAATTTTAAGATTCATAAGACATTTTGTGAAATAGAACTTTAAGTAATTTGAATATTGAATATATACTACACCAGAAAGGCCCTAACTCTGCCTTCAAATTAAATTTGTTTGCAAGTGAAAAAAATTAGGTACGGTCCATATATAACATCAGTTATTCAAATGTTTATCTTAACTATATAATGTATAGAGAAAATATTTAAGAGATACTGCACTAAAATTTCTTTAACATAATCATTCACTAATGACAGCAATGTCTGGATGTGCATCTTCAAGTGCCTATAGTCAGTTATTATGAACCATTTTAGTACTTAGCTTTTTCTTTTTGTAAATTTTTTTTAGTACTCCAGATTTTTAATAGGTCCTACAAGGACTGGAACCATGTACACATAAATAGTCACATTGCTTCCAAATATGACTGTGTGGAGGGACTAGAGAGAGAAATTAGGAAATCCTTTTTAGCACCATTATCATAGATCAGGTCAGTGCTAAAATGCAATGGGCAGAACAGAGAGGTCAACAGGAGATAGGAATGATATGACTGATATAGATAGCCTGGCCTCTCCCTGAAAGGATCTTCTAATTAAGAATTGTCCTGACATGAACATGCCTGAATACAAGCATCAAATTAGTTTAGCTCCTTGAAAATAGATTAAAATGTGTATTCCTTTTCTTCCTAAAGTAGTCTACTGCCTGGCATTCTTTTTAGGATTGTACTTCAGAAACTACAGGATACTTTTTATATGAAAAATCAGAGGATATGGTCATCCTTTGGAAATAGACATACTTTCCCCCTTACCCTTTGGAAATAGTAAAAACCACTTGGAACAAGATTCAGAATAAATAAAGGGAGCAAGCTAGGTACTGGTTTATCATTTTATAGCATGTTAAATACTAGCTATGAAGCCCATTTAGAAAAGGTTATCTAAAACATTTTGAGTGCTTGTCATATCAAATAAGTCTGTGTCCTCTTAAAAGAGTATTTATAATACATTCGGCGTAACTGATTACTCAAGTTCTAGAAAGTTTATTAAAAACAGGTGCCACTATATTATATCTAGTTCCTGGTACTTCTACTTATAAAAGTTTTAACAGCTGACATAATTTCTACTTTTTCCAATTAAAAAAAAAAGCAATATGGTATTCCTGATAGATATTCTACCCTGCCACAAGACATTTGTAAATGAGAAGTGGTATAACAAAATGAGATTTTAAAGGCTTCTCAGAATCATATTTTATGTATCTGGATTTTTAAAGTTAGTTTTTAAATTATTTTGATGACAACTTTTTTGTCAGTACAAGGGTATAAGCTAACAGTAGAATAAAAGTTTTTAATTTCTAAAAGTGAGAGTTTTTTAAAATAACTAATGTTCCCTGAATATCTGTATGGGAGCTTGGGTGACATAATGTGTAGTATGTTGCTGTCAAAGGTCATGCGTCTCTGGAAATCTCCTAAGATTTACAGCTCTCGAAATCCAACAGAGGATCACTATGAGTTGGAATCAATGTGATAGCAGTGAGTTTTGTGTGTTGTGCAAGTATATTAATGGCACAAATTCTTAAGTCCACTGCCACTGCTGTCAAGTTGATTCTAACTCCTACCAAGCCTACAGGATAGAGCAAAACTCCCCCACCAGTTTTCCCAACACAGTAAATGTAGGAGATTGCCTCATTTTTTCTCTCAGTGTCTGGTAGGTTCAAACTGCCTTTTCAGTTAGCATCCTAACACTTAACCTAGTGTACCACCAGGACTCCACCTTCTTTTGTTGTTTTTTGTTTTGTTTTATTTTGTTTTGTTTTGTTTTGTTTTTACATTGGTACTGACATATTGTAATTTCTGATGTGAAGAGAGTTGAAATGGCAAGTTACCACGCAGTTAATTGGATTGACCATATTATGTTCCTCACTAGGTGGTATCTCAGCAACTCAAAAGTAAGTGGCTCTTGATTGGACCTTTTGCATCTCTAGTTTGGGCAAGATGTTTAAACTGAGTGACTGTGTTAATGAAAATATTTGTGTTCAGAGTCTTTATTGTCATTATAATAAATAATTCATTGAAAAACCTAGTCTTGTGTTGTTTGATTTTGTTTTGGTGGTTTGTGTGTGTGGTAGTCATCTCAATGACAGATAGATAAGTAGAGAGATAGAAATGTATAAATAATACTTTCAAATTTGCAAGCCTACATTTCTTGATTATGGTGGAGATCACATTGACTACATTACTGAGAAAGGAATCGGAGAAGAATTTAGGCTGACGAGCATAAGTGTCACTTATTAGTAGTTCTTGTTTCTTCATCCAGTGGGGCTCTATGAGATGGTTTCTAGAAAGTGATCAGACAAAACACTTCCCATGTAACATAAAAGTTACAATAGGTAACCTAAGCTCTGAAACACTTGGTACAGCTTTAGAATCTAAAGCTACTTTGAATATGTCACTATTAGAAATATGAAAGGAAAATACTGTGCTCAATATTAACATTCTATCTCAAGGGAGTTCTTGTGGCCAAGTGGTAAAGGGTTGCACTCATAGTCAAAAAGCCTGCAGTTTGAATCCACCAGCTGCTCCACAAGACAAAGATGGGCAATCTCCTCTGAAGTGATTTAGACCCTCTGAAAACCTATTGGAGGGTCAGCTATGAGACGGTTCAGACATGACAGCTCATAACAACGTGTCAAGATGATAGTGTCTCCCATGGTTTTAAGTTCTCTTTTTATTCCTCTCATCCCAAGATTTAGTACTTGAAAAAAAAAACAAAACACCCATGATTATTTTAGAGAGTATTCTATTGCTCTTTAATCTCTGTAGGGTTCAATATAATTGATTTTTTTGTTAAATTAAGCTTTATGTGTTGTGTTTAAAATGATGTTTTAGAATACATTAATTCTAACTGATCTCAAACTTCCATTCTCAGAGTGGGTCCATTAATGTAATTTTTTTGGTTTCATACTGCATTAATTTTTATTTCTCATTCATTTAAGTAAACTTCTATATACCTGTGTTTCTCTGTAAAAAAGTCATTTTATATTTAAAGTGCCTAAATTTGTGCCTAACTTCATAATAAAGTTGCTCCCTTGTAAGCATTTCCATAGTTAGCTATTTTATTTCAAAATTAGCTCTAAGCAAGGAAGTTGAAAAGTTAAAATGTTCGTTAGTTGAGGTTTGTCTGATGAATTTTAGCAGCTCTGTGGTTTCCATATATGATATCCAGAATATATTATTTTATCAACAAAAGCATAGATTACTTGTAGGAGAATATTATCAACTAGCATTTAACATATCTTCCATTCAGAGCATGGCAGTGGCAACTTCATTTGACATAACCTTCTGCAAAACAGCATTCCTCATCTCATTAGCAGGACAATGTAAAGGTGAACTTATATTGGAGTGATTCTCTCATTCTCTCACCTTCATACTGATCCATTTAAGATTTAGACTTCATTTAAAATTTGTTTACTTTAGACTTTCTGGTCATCCTTAATCTGGTCTTTGCTCATTGAGATTATTTTACTTTTATCTCGGAAGACATTATTGTGTTAGGTGCTATTGGGTCAAGCATGACTCATAGCGATGCATATGAACAGTCCTATCATGTACCATCTTCACACTTCCTGACACACAACAGCCCATTGTGGCAATCATGGTGTCAACTCCTTTGCCAACCCTCCACCCTTCCAAGCTTCATGTCCTTCTCAAAGGAACAGCCCCTCCTAGCAGCATGTCTAAAGTATGTGAGGAAAAGCCTCATCAACCTTGCCTCCAAAGAAAACTCTGGCTGCACCCTGTCCAATACATATTTATTTATTCTTTTGGCAGTCCATGGGATGTTCAGTGCTCTTCTCCAACACCACAATTCAAAGGCATGCATTCTTCTTCTATCGTCCTTATTCATTGTCCAGCTATCAGATGCATAGCAAGTGGTCCGAAAAATCATGACCTGAATCAGAAGCATTTGGTCTTCAAACTGATATAATTACTCCTCAATAATTTGGAGAGGTCTCTAACTGGAGACTTTCTCAATGAAATTTGTCTCCTTATTTCCTGACTGCTGGTATCAAAAGTGTTAATTATGGATCTAAGTAATATGAAGTTGTTGACAG